AGCTGCAAAGATTGGAATGCAACGTTGTGCTGCATCATCCCAATGGTTGAATGAGAGAATCTCTCTTGCAAGATATGCCCATGTAACATCTTTTTCCTCAATCAAATTCTTTATTTTTAAGAGCGTTGATATGAATCTTACTTTTCGAATCATATTTCTGCAGGTACCATTAGGAAATTTTGAACTTGATTGGCTAATTTTTACAGCAGATATATTTTTTTCAAGAGCACTACACGATCAACAGCAGGTTTTTTATTTTTAATTTTTTTTATCCAAGTCTGTGCTGTTTTATACTTTCCACGTTGAATCCTTGTTGGCTTAAAGAATTTGGTTGATTGATTGAGAAGTTTTGAATAAATTTGGTAGGTACTTTGGATATCGGATGATGGTGTTCCAGATATAGGAGGCATTAACATGGAAGACGTGTGTTTTGTGGATGAGGTTTGTTACAAGTGGTACTTGAAATTTTATCCTATTACATTTTTCAGTAGTTATTTTTAGTTTTTGTTCCGCTAAGTCATACATAGATGGTGCTTGTAATCTGTGAAGTCTTGGCTATACTCCTTATTATGTTGTCCTTCGTTCAATGGGTTTGCGATTGGTTTCTTTGTAATAGGTCCAACAACCTGTTCTGACGTACCCTGGAGCATATAGAAAAGTTTCCGTGGAGCTGAAGGTTAAGTGTTTACACATTCCTTTTGTGATAAAAGTTTAAATGAGAGTAATTAAATATCTTTACCCAATCCATGCAGATCCACCATTTGGCGGTCAATGCCCTGCTGAAGAGCAGCCAAGTGAATGAAATGGAAGGAGGTAGTTTGTTTGGCTTTGAACATGATATGCAATATGGAGCCCAACTTTCTAATGAAGACGGTGGCTTTGACGAGGCTTCATCATCTGCGCCGACATTTCGTGTCCTGAAACAATTGATACAAAGGTGTCTTGCAGATGCTGTTACATCTGGAAATGTATATGCTGATGCAATTTTGCGGCATCTGTACCGATGGATTTGCAGGTTTCTGCTTGTTGGCTGATTTATTCTATTTTAAGTAAAATTTTGCTTGTTAACTATGTTCATTCGGTTTTTTTCTTTTTGATTGCAGCCCCCAATCAAGACTTCATGACCCTGCTCTTCATCGCTTACTCCACAAGGTATTCATGAATTTTTTTAGAAGCAAAAAAAAAAGAATCTTCTAGATAATTTAAAATCTATTTTTTTAATAAAAAGACATAGCAGGATAACCCTTCATTGCATTTTGCTTAAGAAAAGAAAAGAACTAGTCTTCACATAATGCCTTCCCGTAGTTATTTGTTGTATTAATAATTTGTGCTGTTTCAATGGACTGACCTACTCTTTGAAACGTCTTGTTATAATTGCTGTTGTTAGGTTATGCAAAAGGTGTTTGCTCTTTTGTTGGCTGAGCTACGAAAATTAGGTGCCACCATTATATTTGCAAACTTCTCAAAAATTATTATAGACACGGGAAGGTTTGATCTCCAGGCTGCTAAAGCATATTGTGATAGCTTGCTGAAAACAGTGCAAACAAGGTTGTTCTTCTCTTGTAGGGAGTTTATCTTTCATAAAACATACGTAGTTTGTATTCTTTTTTTCCTTATTATTTTTCCTTTTATCTAGGGATCTGTTTGAGTGGATTGAATTGGAACCGTTACAGTTCTGGCACTCCCTGTTGTTTATGGATCAGGTTTGATGACGTCATATTTCAATGCGCATGCTTCACTTGGTTCTTGTCATGAGTCTTCCCTCCCCACTCGGCTGCCTTCTTAATTTCTTTTTTTTTTTTTTTTCCCCTTTCTTTTTCATATTTCATTTTCATCTTTTTCCCCCTTTTCGTTTCTGGTGTGGGTGGAAATGTTCCCTGGTACCAAATGTAACAGAACTTCCGGCATATACTTTACAGCCTTTTCAAATTGCATTGGCTAAAATGAATTTTCTGACATTTTGTTTTATTCAAACTGATTATGTAATGTGCTTTTAATTATTCAAAATCAATTTTTATATAATAAAATTGCATTTAAAAGTATAAAATCAAGCACTAAGTTAGTTTTGAATGATTAAAGACACGTTTTAGAGTAATTTTGAATATGACATAAGTAATTTTTTAAAGCGCTTTTTATTTATTAAGATTTTTTATTTAAAAGAAACACTTTTGATCACCTAAAACCATTCAATAAGTTACACTAAATGTCCCTTCTATTTTAGTTTAACTACGGTGGAATCCCAGCAAAAGATGATGAGAGCACAGATATTGAATCTCAAGTTGATATAGTGGCCAACTGGAACATTGCTGAATATCTACCCAAGAAGATTCAGGTAACTTTACTACTTGAGGCTTATTAGTTAACTCCTGTGCACCGTCAGTAGTGTGTAATATTTTCAGTTGAAGACAGTACAGTCAAATCTTACAGTTAATTTCTTCAGGATAAAATGGCCTCTGAATGTTTCATTTGTCAACTCTTCTTCTGGACATTGCAGGATCACTTCGTTTTTATCATCTCTCAATTTTTGTATATTCCATGGAATTATGCAACCAAACAAGCTGAAGCAAGAGCATCATTGCCGCTTGGTGACACATGTACCCCATCTATTACAGTTGCAGCTGCTGAATCGTTTGAATATCGTGTTACAGAACATCTCAAAGAGCAGGTATAAATACTCTTCTGCTGCAAGTATTCTCTTTATTTATTTTTTTTTTCTCAAAGTTTCTTAATGATATATTTATTGCGTTCATCTTCATTCTCAGCTAAGCTCTTACTTCAGCGACAAACTGTTGGGAATTGTTCGTGATATTGTTCTTCATATGAAAGGGATGGACAAAAACACCCAGGATATTTTACCAGATCAACCTTCGGGTAGCATACATAAAGGAGATGCTGCATTGGAATTCATTAAGCTCGTATGCGCTGTTTTGGCTCTTGATCAAAATGTCCTGCATGATGTTCTGGTATCACCATCTTAATTCAAGCTTCATTGTGTAGTACATTATTTTAAAATTTGAATTTACGAGGAGACTTTCCATGTGAAATAACTATTGGAGTATATATACCAAGTTGAACTTTTTATATTCTTTCAAGTAAATGTTACCATCCTCGTCTAAGAAAATAGTGGTTCTTTGCCTCCATCTTCCTTCAATGTTCATTATGGAGAAGTTGTGGTTATGTTTTTGTTGTCGGTCGCCACTGATGAAAGAGGAGAAAAAAATTATAGGACTGAAACAAGTGTCCTCTTTTTCACTCTAGATAAATGTTCTAGTTCTTAAGCTTTTCCATTCACTTCCATTTCCCTTATTGTGCATCATGTAACTTCAGTCCAAGTTGGCTTAGAACTGCATTTCATTCAGTGTGAATGATTGTCCTGTTAATGTTTTCCTTAATGTTTAGGTAATGAGGAAGAATTTACTGAAGTATGTTCGTGTAAGAGAGTTCGCACCAGAAGCAGAGTTTTCTGATCCATGCTCGTCCATAATCTTACCGAACGTTATTTGCAGGTATGCTAGTGATACTAACTTGCATCATAAATGGACAGCATCTTTCATTTTCACGGAGTAACATCTCTGAATCTGTTTCTACCTTGATCCCTTCTCAAACCCGAGTTTAAAGATTTTCGTCTTTGCAGTTGCAGCAAATGCTAAAATATTTTTCTTACCCTTTCTTTTGGTTCTGAGGGCAGCTATTGTGATGATTGTCGAGATTTGGACTTGTGCCGTGACTCGGCTTTACTAGCACAAGAATGGCGCTGTGCAGTGCCACAATGCGAACAACCATACAACCGAGAAGTGATGGAGAACGCTCTGCTTCAAATCGTGAGGCAGAGGGAGCGCCTCTATCACCTACAGGATCTGGTATGCGTTCGCTGCAAGCAAGTCAAAGCAGCTCATTTGTCAGAACAGTGTGCTTGTGCTGGCTCATTTCAATGCAAAGATGTGGAAGATTTTTTCAGCAAGATGAGGATTCTCCTCAACGTAGCCACTCGTCAAAAGTTCCAATTGTTGCAAGAGTTCACCTCCTGGATCTTAGAAGTCTCATAAATTGCTTAATAATAAGCTAGCCATCTAACGAGTTTATCCTAACCAATACACAAAGTGGCTCCCTGCTCAAACCACATTCCTGTAGTGATCACTACCCAGCTCGGCAGTCGCAACAAAGACTTGAGCTCTTCTTTTGAGCACATGCATAGCATAGTTGTATTTTATGATACTGTATATTACTACATAATGGATTATATGATATTGTACGATTAGTTTTTCTCTCATTTTTGTTAGCTTTCTCTCATTTTTGTTAGCTATTTAGTTCTAATCTTTTACATTTAAGTTTTTATGAATAGTAAAGTTGTATATAAATATTTATTGTTCCATAAATATTTATAATCTGTTTTCGACCCAACTTTAAGTATTTTCATTTGAATAGCTAGATTAAGGAAACTGATCGATTTGATTAATTACATTAATTTTTAATCCTTCAATAGTTAATTATTAAAAAGACGTTACTCATTTTATAGGTATCGAACTTTAGATGTTCGAAATTTGAATTTGATTTCTATACTATTTTGAGTGGTAAGAAATGATAGCATAACGGTACTTGCTAAATATGTCCATTTTATTGATTTTTACGTTTCACGTCCCTATTCAAAGGGTATTTTATGTTAGTTTCCATGGGACAAAAATGTTGGATTCTCATCGTGTGTGCAAGCCCGTACGACGAAAATGTTGGATTCACATCGTGCAAGACCATATGACAAAAATGTTGATCGTGCAAGCGAACTCAAATAATTACAACGACATTTTATTTTTGTATTATAAGCAACTTATTATTATATTAAATGATGAGGTGACAATGTTTAATTCATTGTGCCCTATGAAAAATTAAAAGAATTTTGTTCGTACAAGAACCTTGATAATTTTCTAAATGCTCGAAATTAAGACTTGGAAATTTGTTCGCGATAGGTGATGGCGCAAATGCTTTTGGAATTTCTCTGGTGAGTAATTTCTGGCTTTGGCCTTTGCAATCGCCATGGATTTCTTGCACGATGTTCGATTCGAGAGCACTCTTCTCTCTATCTCTTGCTTTTCTTCAAGTAACATTGACATATTCCTCTCCTTCTCTCGTGTTTCTCGCTCGGAAATGCGGTAGATTGATTATGTCATTTATTTTTTGTTCTCTTCTGTCGTTTCTTCCATTGCTAATCATGATTGTTGTGTGGTGTAAACTTGTTTAAATCAATGTCATTCCAGAATTTCTGTTGCGGTGATTCATAATTTCGACCTTAATGACAGCCAATACATCTTCTTGCTTTCAGATAAGAGCATCGAATTAATATTATTTTTATCTAGAAAGAATAAAAGAATATCATGCACTCAAAAACAATTCTCGATGGAGGGCGGGTTTCAGGGAAGGCTAGCGTTACGAAACAGATTTGGAGGTGTAATCATAATTCGATAAGCTGCGCATTGTTTTCGTTTCTGTCCAGTTTTCACAGCAGAGAGGGAATTTTAATTGACAGGAAAAACCTTAGGGATTCCTTAATTACAATTCTACTCCATTTCAATTTGTGTTCTAATTCTGAATCCAAACACTGCTCTCTCTCAAATTTAATCTTCCCATGTATTGTTGTTTTATAAGGTTTAGGGCATGAAAAATTATAGGATCGAGGAGACAACTACAATGTAGCTCATAGTTTTGCACTATTGGATGTAGCCAAAAACTGTTACAATAGCACCTCAAATTGAGGGTTTACTAAAGGCATGAAAAATTCGAATTCACATACTGTTATTACGAGAGAACCACATTTTCCACATTTTCCGAGGAGCATGAAAAAATTGCACTCTTTAATGGAGCCCATAATACTTCCAACGGTCTGATGCAGCTTTTGCAAGTGAGTCCAAAACTTTGTTCATGTTCTTATTTACGTAGTTCATTGATTTAGTGTTTGTTTCTCATAATTTTAGGACATTGCTAATTATTACAGCTCTCTCTCTCTCTCTCTTTCCTTTCTATGACATGCTGTGCCTGTCAATAACTTGATTGATGATGATAATCCATTACCTGTACATCAGTTATTTGATTCAGTTTTCATTCATAGTGGCATGAACTGTAAATTTTGAAGAATGTTGATGTCAAATAGATGATGGATCATGCTTAACTGCTGCTTGTAGCCTGCTTCACATTGTCCTCATCTCCCTCCATTTTTGCTTTTTTTCCCTCATGAACTCAATAAGTAGTACGATTAATCACTTATGCATCATCTTCATACCCTGTTTTCAAGTTTTTTTTTTTCATTTTTCCTTCCATTTTGAATCTAAAATGGCTTTGCCCATTCTTAAGGGATTGCTCCAAGATTATGTGCAGTCTCTGCTTAATGAGGTGACCAGCTTCTCAGTTCTTTCCTTTTCGTTTACACAAACACATATTTGTTATTAATTCAACAGTGTCATGTCTTGCAGAAGATCATTGATGAGAGGTTTTCTCAGATTCGAACAAAGCTTGAAGAGCCTGATTTTATTCAATTGATCAATGTGTATCTAAACGATGTTGAATCAAGATTATCTGAATTCAGTTGCTTCATGTAAACTTTCTTGTAGAACTTCATAAATGCATTTCATACCATTTTCCATTGTGGGCTAACAGCTTCAAACATGCAGTGATTCTGTGGACGTCAATTTCTCTAAGCTGAGTATGATGGCCCACAAAATAGAGGAGAAAAGCACCCGGTAATTCATCTTTACTTGGATATTTCAATATATATGTTCTTCTGCTGTTCATCTTTACTCTAATACAGCCTTTGTGAATCTGAGGGTTTATTTTTATTTATCTCTTGGCTTTATGTTTCTTGAGCATTTAGAAAATGGGTATGTGTCTATTTCAGCATTGGTGCACGCCACATGAAGCTAGCATCTATTCATCTCATCCAAGCTTGTGATAAAGAGGATCATAAACTGTGAGTAAAAAAGATCAAAGTTTTAGCCCAATGAATTTCTTCCCCCAAGTTCTTAATTTCACAGAGATTCATTCATTCATTCATTCATTCAAATCTCTTGTATAAATTCTGTTCTTCAGTGTCTCCCAATCTCTTTGTTGGATGAAGCATGAGTTCATCAATACTCGAAACAAGCTTCAGCCAGTTCTTCAGGTTTGATAACATCAATTCATTATCTGTTAAAAGTTTAGTGAATGTTTCTGGTAAAAAAAAAGCTTAAAGCTTTTGATTATTGCAGATGGAACAGAGGATTTTGAGGCTTATGAGCAAGCAAACATAGATGGGGCTTGTTTGGTTACATCTCATCGTTCATGTGTTTGTTTGTTTGTTTGAAATGAGCTTTGTTTTTATCTTCTTTTGGTTTTTTTTTCTTTTAATCTAATATCATTTTGGTATTAGTGCTCCTATTTGTAATATTATTATGAGCGAGTAAATGAAATTGTATCACGTTTTACCGTTTTAAATTCCAATTTTGAGGAATCTGATGATTGATAAACCACTTAAAATGGCTCGTCGAAATAATGACTCAAATTACTGTTTTAGCCTTGAATTATCGGTTACAGATATGCATAACGTCATCCATGATATAAAGGGTCTTAAGCATTTCTTAGTCCTCAAAAAAAAAAAAAAAAAAA